GGAGGAGGAGGAGGAGGAGGAGGAGGAGGCGGAGGATGAGGAGGAAGAAGAGGAGGAGGAGGATGAGGAGGAGGAGGAGGAGGGGAGGAGGAGGAGGAGGAGGAGTTGGAGGAGGCGGGATGGAGGAGGGGGAGGGACAAACTAGGTGCGCCCGCTTCATAGCTGACGTCCTGCCCCTTTCCTCCCATTCCTTAGCATGGCCTATACCTCCTTTCTATCCGCACAGTCGGGTGCCGTAGCAGGGCATAGCATTGCATGGCATATCATGGTGTTGAAGATCAACGCGTAGCCTGACGCCCCAACGTGGGGGGTGGCTTCGGCGGCCCCGAATCGGCACCGACTGTGTAATCACTACCGATGGTTGCTTCGGGGTGACCATTCCCTAGTTTTGGGGTCCGATTTGGAAGGACCGAAAACCATGCCGTGGCAAGGCGCTGGAAATACTGACGCCATCGCTGCAGCGGGAACACGATTCGGAACGAGCGGAAACGCGGACTTAAGGCCAGCGCTGCAGCGGGAGCACGAGTCGGAATGGGCGGAAGCGCGGAAATGAAGCCAGCGCTGCAGCGGGAGCACGATTCGGAACGAGCGGAAGCCCGAACATGAGGCCAGCGCCTCAGCGAGAACATCATTTTGAAACCAAGCACATGCGAACTCCCAACTCGCCGACATCCAGTGTGGAAAAAACAATACGCGAGGGGGGGCGAACACTCCGAGACATACTCCGCCACATATTCAGGGGAGAGAGGATAATAGTATTCATATGGGGTAGTTGTGGAGGGGGGAGAGCGGGGAAAGAGGGAGGAGGGAGGAGTTCGGAGGGAGGAAGGAGGAGGGAGGAGGGAGGAAGGAGGAGGGAGGATGAAGGAGGAGGAGGGCGGAGGAGGAGGAGGAGGAGGAGGAGGAGGCGGAGGGAGGAGGAGGACGAGGAGGATGAGGAGGAGGAGGAGGAGGAGGAGGAGGAGGAGAGGAGGAGGAGGAGAGGAGGAGGAGGAGGAGGAGGAGGAGGGAGGAGGAGGAGGAGGGGAAGGAGGAGGAAGGGAGGAGGCGGAGGAGGAGGACGAAGAGGAGGAGGGGGAGGAGGAGGAGGAGGAGGAGGAGGAGGAGGAGGAGGAGGCCCGGGCCTGCGTCTGCGCGCGCACGGCGTTCGAGGCCAGACGGGCGCGTGGCGCGCTGCCGCGCAGCCGGCGGGAGGCGACGACGGCTCGGGCGCGGGCAGCGCGCTCAGGCAGGAGCTTGCGCTGCAGGCCTACGGCAGCCAGGCTGCTCCCAGAGGTGACCCCCTTCTCCTCCTCCTCCTCCTCCTCCTTCTCCCTTTCTTCCTCCTCCTCCTCCTGCTCCTCCTCCTCTTCCTCCTCCTCCTCCCCCTCCGCCTCCTGCTCCTCCTCCTTTCCTCCTCCTCCTCCTTTTTTCCAGCACCCCCTTCTCCTCCTCGTCCTCCGTCCTCGTCCGGATGTGTGCCGCCATTGCCTTTCCCCTTTGTCTCACCCTTGGTATTATCTGTTCCTTGCTCGCCTCCTGCGTTTTTCCCTGCTCGTCCTCTTCCCTGCCATCTGTTGCTGCTGCTGCTGCTGCTCTTCATCCCTCCGCTACGGTCACTTTTCCTCCTCCTCCTCCTCCTCCTTCTCCTCGTCCTCCTCCTCCTCTTCCTCCTCCTCCAGCTCCTCCTCCTCCTCCTCCTCTCCCTGCCTCCTCGCTTCGAACAGTTTGAAGCAACACAAAGGTGACCCAAGACAAGCTGGGCATCTCAGAGAGGATCACCAGCAGCACGGCCATGGTCGGCATGGATGTGGCGGTGCTTGCAGCTCGGCGGCGCCCCGTGGCGCTTCTATGGCCGTGAGGCCAGGCGCGGTGGCGACACACGGTGGTGCTTCGATGTCCGTGATGCCAGGCGCCGCGGCAGCATACGGTGGTGCTTCTGTGTCAGTCATGCCAGGCGCCGCGGCGACCCTCGGTGGTGCCTCTGTGTCCGTGATGCCAGGCGCCGCGGCGACACATGGTGGTGCCTCTGTGTCCGTGATGCCAGGCGCCGCGGCGACACATGGTGGTGCCTCTGTGTCCGTGATGCCAGGCGCCGCGGCGACGCACGGTGGCGCTTCTATGTCCGTGATGCCAGGTTCGGCGTACGGTGGTGCTTCTACGTCGGTGATGCCAGGCGCGCCCTACATGCCATCGAGCAGCAGTGCATCTGTATCAGTTGCGGCTCACCAGGGACATCGCTATGGGCAGCCATATATGGCTGAGACTCACTGGTCTGAAACATATGGCGGCGCTCCGATGGCCATGATGCCAGGTGGTGGCGCTTCGATACCCTTGTTTCCAGGTGGGACTTCTGTGTCTTCAGCCAGCATGTCTGTACCATTTGCTGCTCATCAGCACCAAGTCAGTGGTCTGGTTGGGTCGGAACACGATCGCGAATTTGCAGCATCTGGTGGCGCTTATTTTTGTGGTGCTCGGGAGGCCCAAAGTGCATTCCATCCATGTGATTGTTCAATCCGGA